ATTTCATCAGAAACTGATTTTATAACATTAATTTTATCAAATCTAGTCTTTTTCTAAGTTTTAAGATGATAAAATGTGGCTCGCAATTCAACAAGATTTAGATTCATCCATAACTTTATCCTAATTTTTTAAGTAAAACTCAAATGAACTTGAATTCAAAAAAATATTTGATATCCAGCATTAATAAAGAAGCTGTGTATTTTTTAGCAATGGTTGATCTATTATTACCTTCTTTTTTTTCACATTTTATTTTTTTAGTGTTTCTCGCATAACTGTTTTTGCAAATTATTGCGTTAGTTACATTTTAATTTTTTTTTCTTTTTTTATATTTGGATTGGCATACAAAGTGTACATTGTTATAGATACATAGTATATATATATATATAAGTAAAAATATTTTTTTGACTTTTTTTGTCTTACTTAAAAGATAATATCTGACTGCTCTGAATTAATTCCTTTACTTTATCATATTGTAATTAATACAATAAAGTACTTTGTTTTAATACAATGCTTAATACATTTTTGTAAAAACTTTCAATGTTACACGTACATGTCAAAACATTTGTCTATATTAAAACTTATTATATGTTAATTAATCAAAATGAATTTTTAATAAATCAGAGTTAATAAACCCCAGCTTTTTGTTCGATTAATAGACTTATTAAGAAACAAAGATATGATAAAAAAAGTCAACCTTATTATTGAAGCATTTAAGAAAAAGTTTTATAAATGTGAAATAATTGTTAAAACTTCTCTTAAAGTCTTAAGCATCTAGAGGTTGTTTCTACTAGGTTTCATTATTTGTTGCTGTTGACAATACGGTGATAAAAGTGTTTTGAGTGGTGATATCAATTGATTTTTTGCCTAACGTTCATTCCATGAACTTTCTTTAACGGTAAACAATGAGTCTAACCTAAGCATTTATTTCTGAAAACTTGGGGTTGCTTGAAATAGACGTTCGACCTTTTTTTTTCTTTTAAGAAACATAATTTTTGTGTTCTTTTTAAGAAACACATTTTTGTCTTCAGCCTTTAGCTTTAAATTTAGAGCATTTTTGAAACAGAGAATGTCCTTTTTTTATTTTTTGTGAGAGAAATGCTTGATAGAAAAACACTGTTTAAAGCTTGATAGAAAAACACTGTTTAAAGCTTGATAGAAAAACACTGTTTAAAGCTTGATAGAAAAACACTGTTTGAAGCTTGATAGAAAAACACTGTTTGAAGCTTGATAGAAAAACACTGTTTGAAGCTTGATAGAAAAACACTGTTTGAAGCTTGATAGAAAAACACTGTTTAAAGCTTGATAGAAAAACACTGTTTTTCTAAAAAAGCTTTGAAGCTGTTTGAAGCTGTTTTGTTAATTGTCAAGATTTTTTATCTTTTTTTTTTTAATAATTTCTTTTTTTGCGTAAAAAAATGTTTGATCGTTTACTTATTTCTATAAATAAAAGTACATCATAAGAAATCCAACTGTAAACTTAAAATAATAATTCCTTTAGCAATTCTGTTACGTTGTATTTCTAGTAAATTGTACTTTCTGTTCTGTTATAACTTTTTATGACAAACAATTAATACTTTTTGAGTTTAAGAACAAAATAATTTGTAATAACATAAATTACCTGTTGTAAAAACAAATAATGATAAGTTAAGTTTTTTTATTACATAAAAATAAATAATTCTAAAGTTGTATAATGGTACTGATTTTTTAACTTACCAGTTTGCAAACTTATTTTTATCTTATATTGATATTCTCTTTCATCAAATGTTAAGTATGAAGTAAACTTTATTTGACACACTTTATTTCTAAATATTGACACGCTTTATTTCTAAAGACTTATATCTTTAAAAATAAAGTGTGTCAATATTTGTTATCGTAATCAATAAAATTTTAAACTAAGCGAGACAAAATGTCATTCACCAGTTGTTTCTTGGATTCTATGTTATAAAGTAAGACGTATTAACCTTTTTACAAGTTATATTATATGTCAAAAGCACAATTGTTTAAACGGTTTAAAATGTTAAGCAGCTTTTCAAATCACCATATATAATATACAATATCTCAGTAAATATGCAATATCTCAGTAAATATGCAATATCTCAGTAAATATGCAATATCTCCGTAAATATATCAAAACCCCATAGTTTAACTATTAAGTATTTAGACTCTTAAATGTTACCATTTTTTTTTTAATTATATATTAATTTTGTTGCATTCATGATAATTATTTACAACATTATTTTTTAGTTATAATAAGACCGGAGCAGGTTGACAAAACTTATTTCATCTAACCATGTTGCAATACGTTTTGCAAGAAACGACTTATTATACGTTGTTTTTTGCAAAACAAACACATAAATTTACTTCCTTCACTTTGGTTAGGACAAAACAAACTGGTGACCTAATATTTCCAACAAGTAGTAACTCTATAGCAGGTTAAGCAGCATCAAATTTATTCAAATTATCAAAGTTTATCATATTGGTAGTTGTAAGTACCTTTAAAGGAGAATTTTTTGAGTCGAATAATAAACTTTTATCATACTTTAAAGTTTGGAATCAGACTTTTAAGTTTGGAATAAAAGTTTTATATTTATAAAATATTTAGCTTTATACTTATAAAATATTTAGATTTAAAATATTAATGTAATCATTTAATATAGTGAACAATGTTTGTTTAATTTTAAGTTTATATTAAGTACAACAAAAAGTTACAATATCCATATTAAATAAATGTTTTTTTTATCCAGAGAAAATTTTTTAAATACGATACATATGCAATCATGCCTTCTATAACTATAGTTAAAATATTTTCTTCAAGCTATATTTAAATCGAGATTTAATCAAAAGAAAAAAAAAGCGCAAATATTAGAAAGGATATTGTTAGAACCATAAGAAAGTCAATTCTTAAAGAAAAGACGTTAAAATATACTGCGGAAGAAGTTTAAATATCAATTTCTGCAACACGTTCTATTTCCGATAAAATCATCAAAGGACTTAGTGATAATGAAGTTGCATCAGTAAAAAAAAAAAAAAAAAAAATCAGCTTTTATGACGAGACACTTAAATCTAAAATTTAATTGTTAATTGAGCATGATCCATCTCATACGTTAGCATCATTGAGAAATATTCTCGTTGAAAGGAATATTAATGAATCTGTACAAACAATATCAAAATATTTTAAGTCGATGGAGTTCACTAGAAAACGACTTACATTAGTATCAAAAGAAAGGAACTCGCCGCAAAATGTTGAAGTTTGTCTTCGACATTTTGCGGCGAGTTCCTAGCAGTTTTAGCAGGACTATTAATTTGATTCCTGACTAGTATTCTAGATGAAACAGGCTTTAACTTACATACTTCTAAGCAATATGTCTATTCTATAAAAAATACAAAATATTTTGTTACAGTGTTAGCTATTAGTGGAAAGAATGTAAGTTTAATGACCATGGAATCTAAGTTTTAAAACAGTGGATGGTGCCTAAAATGGCGATCTTTTTTGTGATTTTATAACGAACAACTTATGACCGTATTTCCAAACGAACCCCCATTCTGTACTAGTATTAGGTAATTGTGCATTTCATCGTCGACGAGATGTAACCAATTTGCTCAGCCAATCCAATGTTTCAGTTAACATTTTGCCACCTTATTTACCGCAAATGAATCAGATTGAAGAATACTTTAATTGTCTTTCAGCTAATTATACTTCTAAAAAACCGTTTCCAAAAACTAGCAATGAAGTTAAGGCTACCTTAAATTTGCTAATAACGACAATTGGCGTTGATTTTTCTGGTTAGTATCGTAATATGAGAAGATGCATCGAAACGGCCATTGGGCCAGCACTGGCCCGCTGTCATGGGTCCACAATCGTTGCCAGCAATGGCCTGCGATCGTTTGCCAGCACTGGCCCGGGATCATTTGCCAGCACTGGCTCGCGATCGCTTACCAGCACTAGCCCATTATCTATTACCAGTACTGATTCGTGATCATTTTCCAACATTTGTTCGTGGTTGCGTGTCATTACTAAAGCGTTACTTTTTACTAATACATTAGAACGATATTATTAGCTGTTTCTGTACAAATGCATTATCCCACATGAATCAAACAAATAAGTACTTTTCGAAATTAATTCCAACTTACATCAAAAAAAATAAATAAGTATTTTCGAAATTTATTTCCAACCAAAAGTGTGTTAAAAAATAATGAAATAAAAAATAAAAAAATGTTATTAAAAGTTCAAATTGTTGTTTATGCAAATAACTTTTTATACAAAGAACGTTCTTCTCGAGCTTTTCGTCCGCCATTTCGATCCCCAAAAAGCAAAATATATCTCTTCAATTAATGTTTAAACTCTTCTCCTGATGCTCCTGAGGTTAAAGCTTTTATTTCCACAACATCTAAATAACACAAAGTTAAAAATAGTGTGAAAAATAGTAAACTATTAAACTAAAATGTATGATTAAAATGTACATTACACTCACATATATAAACGTTAGGATAATTAAAAAAACTTTTTTATAAAAATTCTGCACTTTAACCCTATTGTATTTAATAAAATAACACTAGATATAAAATTTAAAACAATATTTAAACCTAAGTCAAGTTCATATTATTATAAAAAAAAAAAAATTATATAAAAAAAACTCCAACAATAAATTGCGAGATTACTATTAACCAATGCAATGAAGTGTTTTTTTGCTCACATTCGCAAGAAACCATCTGACAGATAAACATCCATTGGATGTCACTTAAGACCCCAAAAACTAAAATAACCAAAAAATAACAATAATGAAACAGTTAAATTCAGTTTACTAATGCTTACTATGTGCTTCAATTTTAGCATTAGATGCAACTGACGATGCAATACTGATTTATGGAGCTATAGGAGCTTTAATTCATCCAGCAACTGATCAGCACGCAACTAAGTTGATATCATCTCATTAGGCAACAACAAAGTATTTTCATTTTTCTTCAATCAAGGCACCTTTTTTAGAATTAAAGCGCTAAAAATAAATTAAGAAATTGTCACCTTAAAAACCACTTTTTTAAATAAATTCTTCATTAAAAAAAAACTTTCTAGTCAATAAAATACAATATCATAGAAGTGGACGGGTCTCCATCCCATCAGTTGCTAACTAATTGTTTTCGAAAAAAGTATGTCTATCAATTTAAATTGATAAATTTTCATGCATATTTGTGTCCTATTTACATAAACTAACTAAAAAATTGTTTCAGAACGTTTTGGAAATTAGTTACAAAAAGAAAAAAGAATATTCAAATGAAAAAAGTTTAAAAACACCTCTTCTAAAACTTCAAAAAGCAGAGCCTTGTTTTAAAACTTCAGAAGCAGAGCCTTATTTTAAAACTTCAGAAGCAGAGCCTTGTTTTAAAACTTCGGAAGCAGAGCCTTTTTTTAAAACTTCAGAAGCAGAGCCTTGTTTTAAAACTTCGGAAGCAGAGCCTTTTTTTAAAACTTCAGAAGCAGAGCCTTGTTTTAAAACTTCAGAAGCAGAGCCTTGTTTTAAAACTTCGGAAGCAGAGCCTTGTTTTAAAACTTGAGAAACAGAGCCTTGTTTTAAAACTTCAGAAGCAGAGCCTTGTTTTAAAACTTGAGAAACAGAGCCTTGTTTTAAAACTTGAGAAACAGAGCCTTGTTTAAAAACTTGAGAAGCAGAGCCTTGTTTAAAAAAGTTATTTAATTTTAAATAATCTGAAGAAGTCAAATTTTCAATACATAAAAATGTCAAAGGAGGAACAGTATGGGCTGGAGCAAGTGTCTTTTTTTATTATTTACAGCTTTTTTTTTTTCAGTAACTGTGAAGTTTTAGTTTCTGAACTTAAATATACAATTTTGTGATAATATACATTTCTATAAAATACTGAAAATGAACCAACATCATGATATGATGATCACCATCTAAATAATATATGCTAATCATTATCACGTATATCATATCATCATCACAAGCATCATGATCATCACTTGGTAGGACAAAGACTTTTCTGAAATCTGTTTACTTCTAAATTTATCAGGTCTTACTGTTGTTAATTGAAAAAAAGTCTGAATAAACTTTTGCCATAGGTAATTTTTCTCTTGTTCAGTTATATGTAACTAAAAAAATCAAAATAGTAAAAAAATGTTAGAAAAATACTTCAAAATAAAAAAAGAAACAAAAAAATTTACTGTAGAAAAAATATATATTTGTAAAACTATACATAAAACCAGATATATACATAAAACCAGAGTTAATCTAATCAATCTAATCATTCATATAATCTTTAAATTTTTTAATGGTAAATGTGGTGAGTCTTAAAGGAACATCCACAAATACCATTTTGTTATCTAACTAAAAAAATTTTAAAAACAAATTAACAAAAGAAAAAAAAAAATGAGAAAAGTAAAAGGAAAAAAAAAAAAAAAATAAAAGAAAAAATACATTTGAAAATGAAAAGGAATTAAAAAGGAATTAAAATAAAATATAAAAATTGCTCCATTTTGGGGACAAATAAAAAAGAATATTTTTTTAATTTTATTATTTTGGAGTGACGATATGTATTTGCTTGATATGATTTACTTTTTTATTTTAATATTGTCATTTTTTATAAAAACTCTATAGTTTTAATTGAATATTTTTTGTTTTATTTATTTGTGGTTATTTTTTAATGAAGTAGTAATTTTATTTTTATCGTTTCTATTATGGTTATTGATATTAAGATGTTATTTTTATTAAATTATTGTTACTTTTTTTTGCAGTAATTGTTTTAGCTGCATGGTAGAATTTTATGTTTTGTCAGTACATAACTGTATGTAACTTTCCTGTCTGTGCATTATATTCAATTGTTGTTTTAAAATTGATATTGGTTTATTATCATATAATTTTCTTATAACTTTTAATTTATTATCATTCTTATTATTTATATTATCAATCCTAATTCATGGTATTTACTTAAGATTAGTTTTTAACTATTTGTAAATGACCTCGATTGTAAGATCTTTTATCAAAAAATATATTAATTGATTGATATTCATTTTACATGAAAAACAGCCACTGAATTTCTTTTCATCAATAAATATAACAATATAATAAAACTTGTTTATCGTTCTTACAGAAATAAATTATATGCTAAATGTAGTAATAAATTATATAAAAAATAGGAATTACAGGCATCAAGTGTAATTACAATTGATCATTTTGTTATAATTGATAATCGAAAAAAAACTTAAATTTGAGAAGTGTTAAAATATAGAGCAATAAAAAATGCTAAAAGTATTTCAGAAAATCAAATCCAAATAAACAATAAAAACTTTTTTTTTATAGACATTCAATACAATTTTTAAATGCATTCAATTTTTAAATACATGACAATCATCAAAAGCAATTTTGATGATGTCATTTATACGATCAAAGTCATTTTTTTAAATTATTATCAATGGAATGTATTATTACAAATAATATTAATATAATAATGTTATTATTAAAAGAAAACACTTGAGACACAACATAATAAATGATAAAATAAATAATAAAGCAATTTTGTTACCAAGAACAAAAATAAACAATGTACAAACTTCAACAAACTATAAAAAGTGCAGCAAGATACACTGGAGAAAATTGTCATTTAAAACTGCAACATGTTCAACTTTTTCTAAATTTAATGCTAAATATTACTAACAGACTTGAATCATAAGAATAAGTAAGAAAATTTGATTTCGTCAAAAATTACTAGTACACAATATAGATTGTCTTTTGTTCTCTAACACAAATATTGTCACATGTTGCTTTAAGATAAAGATTTGGTAAGTAAACATCATTACATGATATACACTATACACATACACATGTATATTATATACACTCTACACATACACATATACAATATACACGTATACTTATACATATAACATATTGAACATAGTATAAATATTACAATAATATTTTTGTGATAGGACAATGTAAATAGTACTAGACTAATTTAAACCAGAGACCTTTTAAAAAAACAAAACAAAAACAAAAAAACACATATATATATATATATATATATATATATATATATATATATATATATATATATATATATATATATATATATATATATATATATATATATATATATATATATATATATATATATATATATATATATATATATATATATATATATATATATATATATATATATATATATATATATATATATATATATATATATATATATATATATATATATATATATATATATATATCAACTAAATAAGGAATTTTAATATATATTAAAATTCATTATTTAGTCGATGAAATTGCAATTCTTGAAATTAAAATGTTTAATGTATTATAATAAATAAAAAAGTTTTTGTCAAAGTTAGATATATCAAACCTTATAAAAAACTATCATTTTTTACGTGAAAAATGAATGTTTTTTGTAAGGTTAGATATATCTAACATTATTACCAACCGGGGTTTTTTTTTTTATTAATAAGCATCTTATGCATATCTTTTGCATAAAAATTATGCTGATATGATATCAGCATGACATTTATACAAACCAAAGTATAATAACCAAACATTTATACAAACATTTATAAAAACCAAAATATAATAACATTTATTTGTAATAACAAACTATATCTTGTAAACGTTTTGTTTTGCTTTTATAGTACCATAAAGGATAACGAAAAAAAATATTTAAATAATGGCAAAACGGCATTCGGCCAAAACTCTGTATCCACCGCAATCGGGCCAGTACTGGCCCGATTCAAATGCCGTCGTACTCGTCAAATGCCGTTGTCAAATGCCGTCGTAATGGCCCGAATCAAATGCCGTTGTAGTGGCTTACGACTAGTCGCCAGAGCTCTGGCATTTCGTCGAACGCCGCTGGGACTTATTGGGAGAATTTACCGGACATAAAAAGTTGCTTAAATCGCTTGCCAGACTCTCGCCAGTAATGGCTCGTTACTAATAAAGTCGCAACGGCGTGCAATGATTCGCCAGAGTGCTGGCCCGGAGTCGTGTGCTGTCTGGGTAGTTATATAAAAAAATACACTTTATTCTTCAGAAACTTATGAATAACTTATATATCATAAATACAGCATTGAATTTATTTTTAAGAAAATATAAAACTAAAATGTTTTATATTTTCCTAAAAAATGTTTTATATTTTCTTAAAAAATGTTTTATATTTTCTTAAAAAATGTTTTATATTTTCTTAAAAAATGTTTTATATTTTCTTAAAAAATGTTTTATATTTTCTTAAAATATGTTTTATATTTTCTTAAAAAATATTATAAATTTTGCATAAACTCTATAATGTATATTTAATATTTTTATGATGCAATAACATTATAATAAAATAGTAAAGTAAGATTGATTGATATTATTAATTAATTATTATTATTATTAACCAATATATATTAATAATTGTAATAAATAGTGTTTAATGATAAAAAAAAGTCATATATATGTATTTTTAATTTTAAAATATTAATGACACCGATAATATTTTACATATGAGTTTTACATGTAAGTGAGTTATTTCGATAAAATGAATAAATATATTCAAACGAAAACCATCAATGGATTGCCATATGTTTAAAAATTTTAAATTTTGATTAATAATGTTGTTTGTGTTATTTTTTTGTTTTAAATTTAAAATTAAAGTCATGCGTCATACTTTCTATATAAATAGTAGCTAAACAACATTTTTATAAAAGCACATTAAGTTAACGATAACTAATTTGATTTAAGATATATAAATAAATAGCAGGAATAATTTTTTGAATAATTTTACCCAGAACAATATCTACTTAATTTAAGAAATTTATGCAGGTCATTTAAGAAGCCAGTTCATGTAGGTTAAATATATGGTTTGAAATATTTAACTGAAAAAAACAGGTTTAATAAAATGTTTTTTTGCGTCCCGTAAGTAATACAGCATCAACTATAATTCCTAAACTAATAATAATTGAGCAAAATTTCAGTATAAAGAAAAGCAAGTAGATAAATTTGGGATG